TAAACATTTAAAAATTTCATTTTAGACATCTTTAATATCTTTGTTCAGGCTTATTACATGATATTTTATTTGTTTTGCAGCTATTGTGAAGGGGAGTGTTTCCATGTACTCTTTCTCTGATTGCTTATGATTTGTATATAGAAAGGCTACAGGCTTTTTTAGATTAATTTTGTAACCAGACACTTTACTGAACCTGTTAATAATTCCTAGGAGTTTTTCTGGTGGATTTTTTTTGCATCTCTTAGGTATGATATCATATCATCTGCAAAAAGGAATAATTTGATCTCTTCTTTTCCAATTATGACTCCTTTAATTTCTTTCTCTTGTCTAATTGCTCTTGCAAGAGTTTCAAGCACTATGTTAAAATGGAGTGGAGATAGGGGACAGCCTTGCCTGGTTCCTGATTTTAATGGAAATGCTTCCAGTTTTTCTCCATTTAGAATGATGTTGGCTCTGGGTTTGTTGTACATGGCTTTAATTATGTTGAGGTATGTTCCTTCCAGTCCAATTCCCTCTAGGACATAAATACATGTTGAACTTTGTCAAATGCCTTCTCTGCATCTATTGAGATCACGATGTGATTCTTGTTTTTGAGTCGATTTATATGATTTATGATCTTTTAATGACTTACGTATATTGAACCATCCTTGCAGCTCTGGGATAAAGCTGACTTGATCATGGTGGATGATCTTTTTGATGTGTTTTTGTATGTGGTTTGCAAGCATTTTGTTGAGAATGTTTGCATCTATGTTCATTGAGGATATGGGTCTATAGTTTTCTTTTTTGGTTGTGTCTTTACTAGGTTTGGGTGTTAGAGTGATGCTGGCTTCATAGGAGGAATTTGGAAGTTCTCCCTCCATTTCTATCTTTTTGAGTAAATTAAGTAGCATTGCATGTAGGTCTTTTTTAAATGTCTGGTAGAATTCTTCTGTAAATCTGTCTGGTCCTGGCTTTTTTTTAGCTGGGAGATTTTGTATTACTCTGTCAATTTCCTTATTTGTTATGGGTCTGTTTAAGCTGTTGATCTCTTCTTGATCAGTTTTGGTGGTTCCCATGTTTTTAGTTACCCATCCATTTCTTTTAGATTTTCAAATTTAGTAGTGTATAGGTTTTTAAAGTATTCCTTTATAATATTCTGGATATTTTTGGAGTCTGTTGCAGTGTTTCCCATTTCATCTCTGATTTTGTTGATTTGGAGGTGCTCTTTCTTTCTTTTGGTTAACTGGTCTAGTGGTCTGTCAATCTTGTTTATCTTCTCAAACAACCCGCTATTGGCTTCATTGATTCTTTGTGTTGTTTTCTTTGTTTTTATTTCGTTAATTTCTGGTCTGATTTTTGTTTTTTCTTCTCATTGGATTTCATTTGCTGTTGCTTTTCAAGTGTCTTAAGTTGCAATGGTAAGTCATTTATTTGTGTTTTGATTTTTTTTTTTTTTGCTCTTTTTGAGACAGGGTCTCCCTGTAGCTCCAGCTGTCCTGGAACTCACCTTCCCTCTAAGGACTGCTTTCAACATGTCCCAGAGGTTTTGTTGTGTTGTATTGTCCTTTTAATTTAGTTCCGGGAATACTTTTGTTTCATTCTTAATTTCTCCTTTGACCCATTCAGGAGTGGGTTGTTTACTCTCCATGTGTTCAGGTAGTTACTAGGGTTTCTTCCAGTGTTGATATTAAGCTTTATTGCCCTGTGTTCTGATAGAATGCATGGAATTATTTCAATCTTTTTGTATTTGTTGAAGTTTGTTTTGTGCTCCAGTATATGGTCTATTTTGGAGAAAGTTCCCTGGGGTGCTGAATGGAAAGTATATTCTTTGGTACTTGGGTGGAATATTTGGTAGACACCTGTTAGGCCCATTTGTATGGTATTGTTTAGTTCAGATGTCTCTCTGTTAATTTTCTGTCCTGTCGACCTATGTAATGGAGACAATGGAGTTTTGAAGTCCCATACTCTTAATGAGTGTGGATTAATCTGAGTCTTAAAGTACCGTAGTACTGATTTTATGTAGTTGGGTGCAGCAGAGTTTGGTGAATATATGTTCATGATTGTAATATCTTTTTTGTCAATTGTTCCTTTGAACAGAATGAAGTGGCTCTCTTTATCTCTTCTGATTAGTTTTGGTTTAAAGTCTATTTTGTCAGATATTAGAATTGCAACGCTTGCTTTTTTCTTAGTACCATTCGCTTGGTACATTTTTTTTTCCATCCTTTCACCTTAAGATAGTGCCTGTCCATGAAAGTGAGATGAGTTTCTTGCAGACAAGAAAAAGATGGGTTTCGTTCTTTAATCCATTCAACTAGTCTGTGTCTTTTGACTGAGGAGTTCAGTCCATTGATATTTAAAGTTATTAATGAAAGATGTGTATTGAATCCTGCCATTTTTTGTTTCTGTTCAAAATTTGGTGTAGCTGTGCATTTCCATAGTTATATCTTCATTAATTTTCTTTCTGTAACCCCTTGGGTTTAGTTGTTCCTTTCTTGAGCCCTTTGTATGCCTTCAAGAACTCTCTGAAAGGCTGGTTTTATGGACATGATTTTTCAGCCTATTTATATTATGGAAGGTTTTTCTTTCCCCTTCGACTATAATAGACATTTTGGCTGGGTATCTGTGGTCATTTAGATCTGGAAATACTTTGATCCAGGCTCTTCTGGTTTCATAGCTTGTAGTGGAAAATCAGGTGTAATTCTGATGGGTTTTCCTTTATATGTGACTTGTTGTTTTTCTTTTACAGCTTTCAGCATTGTCTCTTTGTTCTGTATGTTTAGTGTTTTTACTATTATGTGCATTGGAGAGTTTCTTTTCTGGTCCTTTCTATTTGGTGTTCTATGTGTGTCTTGTATTTGTATGGGCATATCTTTCTGGAATTTTGGGAAACTTTCTTTTACATTCTTGATGAAGATTTGGTCCATACCACTATCTGGAGATTCTTCTCCTTCTTGTATGCCTATGATTCATAAATTTGGTCTTTTTATGGTTTCACACAATTTCTGCATATTCCATTCTTGTGTTTTCTTAAATTTTTCATAAACTTTGCTTGAGTAGTCTAATTCATCCACTTTATCTGCCAGTCTTGATAGTCTGTTTTCCATTTCATTTATCCTATTGGTGAGCTTTCTCCTGTCATTTCTTATTGGCTTACTGTGTGTTTCACTTCCTTCTTCATTTCAGCCTGAGCATTCATCAATATTTCTAACCTTTTATGAATTCATTCAGAATTTTTTCTTTATCTTCTTTCAGTTCTTTGATTTCTTTCTTTGTGTGTTCTTTAAATTCACTGAATTCCTTTATCATGTTTATAGTTGTTCTTTTGAGTTTCACATCCTGTGTTATGTCTAGGGGGTTCTAATTGTACTACTCTAGAGGACTGATGGTACTTGGTGGGGATATATTATTTTGATTTTTCATGTTATTATTTTTCTCTGTGACTTTGTCAAGTAGATTTCTTTTGTAAATTCTGGTTCTTGTGTTAGACTCAAGCCTTCCTTTGTTTAGTTTATGTCTACTTCTTTTTGTAAACTTAATGGGCCTTTGTGGTTTACTTGTTGGGCATGAAATGTTGGTTGGTCTAGGCTTCAGGTTCTCTCTTTTGATTTTACATTGGAGAGGCAAAATTGCTTTTGTCTTGCTGCTCAGGAGTTCCCACAGAGGACCAAGCTGGATGAGGCTCAGACGCTCTCAGGCTTTCTCCTAATGTCTGGATCCCTCGAGGAAAAATGCTGGCCTCAGGAATTTGAGGGCTGGTTTGGTCTGGAAGCAGGATCTAGGAAAGATGCTGGCCCCCAGGAATTCAAAGGGAGGTGATGGAGAGAAGAGGACGGGGGGCTCCTGGGGACTACAGGGAGGAACTCGGTTGGTCTGGATGCAAAGGATCAGGAAACAGTGAGGTTCTGGGCTAAGAGGTCAGTCCATGGGACTGGGGTGTCATGACAAGAGATGGGGCCGTGCCCCTACTAGGAGGAGAGATGGAATGGGGCAGCTGGGAGGGTGAATGAGGTTAGGGGATTCAAGGTGCAATGGGCACAGTCAAACTTTCCCAAGCAAGCTGCTGGCTCCAGGAAGCTGTGGGGCTGGGCTGTCCAGAGATGCAAAGGGAGGTAGGGACTAGAGGGAGGTATTGGCTTGACCTGAATGCAAAGGATGATGAAGCAGTGGAGAGTTTGGGCCAAGAGGTCAGTCCAGAGATCTGGGGTGCTAAGACAGGAAATGTGCCAGTCCCCCTTCTAGGAAGAGAGATGGATTGAGGGGAGCTGGGAGGGTGAATGAGGCTGGGGCCCCAAGATGCAGTGGGCACAGCCAAACTTACCCAGGCTGGATTTTTGTACATTTTGTACAATATTCCTTAATTAAGACCTCCTCTCCCATCCATGCCTGCACATCCACCCACCCCACCTGGCCTCATGTATACATATTAAATCCCGTCTGGTCATAATTTGAGAAATATTACGTAAGGTATTGATTCAGATGAGTAATATTTAAGGAATAAGTATCTTAGTTATATTACCTTTGAAGGTCCTTGTAGATCAGAGACAACTGGATATAAAACCTGAAAGTTCTTTTAATGCAGCAAAACTAAGTTATTTTTTCTATATGTTTTTACTCCTTGTACTAGAGTTGCTGCTGTTTTTCTCTTATGATAAACTTCACATCATTAGTATTATATAATACCCTAAGATCATTTTTGGCTAATGATTTAACAACGTTTTGCTTTTAAAGACATAATACATTTTCTTTTAAAATAATGTTATTGCTTCTTTGATATTTCATACAATGCATTTTGATCATCTTCAGACCCCCTCCCACATCTCCTCTTAGATCCACCCCATTTTCCTATTCCCCTCTCTTCATGTCCTTTATTATTAAATACATTTAAAGGGTGATTGAGTCTAATCTGTGCTTGCCAATCTTTGTTCTTGGGTCCATACCCTGGAGTCTCTTCAATCTACTCAGCATCACACACATAAAGAACACTGTCTCTCCCTCTCAGTCTGGTCCCTTTCTCTTTGCTTCAGGCCTGTCACATAATTCCCAATGGAGAACAGCACAGAGATGACTGAGTTCATCCTCACTGGGTTAACTGATGACCCAAACCTGCAGATTCCACTCTTCATCCTCTTCCTTCTCATCTACCTCAGCACTGTGCTTGGGAACCTGGGAATGATTGGGTTGATTCTGCTGGACTCTCACCTCCACACGCCCATGTACTTTTTCCTCAGTCATCTCTCCCTGGTGGACTTTGGATATTCTTCAGCTGTCACACCCAAGGTGATGGCAGGTCTCCTCTTAACAGACAAAACCATATTCCACTATGCTTGTGGCACCCAGTTCTTCTTTTTTGTAAGCTTCATTACTGTAGAAAATTTCCTCTTGGCTTCCATGGCATATGACCGCTATGCAGCAGTGTGTAAACCCTTGCATTATACCACCGCCATGACCACAAACACGTGTGCTGGTCTGGCCATAGGCTCCTATGCCTGTGGCTTCCTGAATTCCTCCATCCACACTGGGAACATTTTCAGGCTATCCTTCTGCAAGTCCAATGTGGTTGATCACTTTTTCTGTGATGCCCCTCCTCTCCTGGCCCTCTCATGCTCAGACACTTATGTTAGTGAGATGGTTAATTTTTTCGTGGTGGGTTTCAATGATCTCTTCTCTATTGTGGTCATATTGATCTCTTACTTACTTATATTCATCACTATCCTGAGAATGCGCTCATCTGAAAGACGCCAGAAGGCTTTTTCCACATGTGCTTCCCACCTCACTGCAGTCTCTATCTTCTATGGGTCTGGCATCTTCATGTATCTGCAGCCCAGCTCCAGCCACTCCATGGGAACTGACAAGATGGCATCTGTGTTCTATACCATGGTCATCCCCATGCTGAACCCTCTGGTCTACAGCCTGAGGAACAAAGAGGTGAAGGGTGCCTTCCACAAGGCCATGGGGAAAGCAAAGTCTTCTATAGGATTCACACTTTACTGATGTAGAATCTGTACAAAGGCAGTTTTGTTTACCTCAGGTTAATCTTTGTTCAGTCCAATAGTGAGTTTCCTTAGGAGTAGTGTCTAATATGCCTTTTAAAACTGTGTATTAAAAATATTTTTATTGTTTTTGTGCTTTTCATATGCTAGATCTTAATCAAATTTAGACCCCCTCCTCCATTTACACCCCCTTCCCTCAATGGAGTTCATTCATTCTGTCAATTAGGTTAAATCGTATCTTCTCAAGCTTTTTTTTTAAACTAGCTGTACCTCAGTGCAAGTTCATTCACTGGAGTTTAGTCAACCTACCTAGAGTCACTCCCTTAATGAAGATCAACTCTCTTTCACCCAGCCATAATTAGTTGCCAATGGTTCTTCAACTATGATTGGGGCCTGCTGCCCATTTCCTTTGTTCTATGTTGTGTTTTTGTTTGACTGAATCAGCGTGGGTCTTGTGCATGCTGCCACCATCATTGCAAGTTCAGAGGGGAAAGTTCCCATTGGGCTGAAAGCCTCTGATTTCTCACATTCATTAACCAATGCTGACTCTTACAATCTTCCCTCCCTCTCTTGCAGTGGTCCTTGAGCTGTGGGTGAGTGAGGGCTCATGGAACATAATGGCACAGAGGGTAGACAGAATATTAATACATCCCTCAAGTCTTACCAGTGATACTACTCCATACAACAAAGTGTGATTCACACAGAAGGCCACAGCTGGCTAAGTTTTCAAGAACAAGAGACAGCACAGTGTATGTCCCTGGATAGGACTCCTATATTAAACTCATGTATTTTTGCCCCATTCTTTCCTTCTGTTTTCCTCTTAAAATCTTGACATTTTAGTATTTTTATTATATCCTGGTGTTTTGAAAGATTGAACTCAATGCCTTGCACATGTTAGGCAAATTCTTTACTACTAAATTATATCCCAAGCCCACATTTGGGCATTTTAAATAATAAAATGTTACATATTCTAGGAATACTGTTTTTACCACCAATGTAGAGTTTAATTGTTGGTGATTGTTGTTTGAATGACAACTGTCCCTCACAGGCTCATGTGTTTGAACACTTGGTCCCCAGTTAGTGGTGCTATTTGGGGAAATAATGGAACCTGTAGGAAATGGAGCTTTGCTGGAGGAAGGGTGACTTTGTGTGTTTATAACCTCATCCCACTTCCTCCTTGCTCTTCTATGTATTTTGGATGTAATTTCTCAGCTTTCTGCTCAGCTGCCTGCTGCCATACCCCATGCCATTATGGACTCTCCCTCTAGAGCCATAACCCCAAACCTTAAATTACCTTTGGCCATGGTATTTTATTAAAGCAACAAAGAATAACTAATAATTTTGCTTCCTGGGCTGCACAGCCTCCAGTGTCCTGGTGCCAGCACCTTTCCTGGGTAAGTCAAGTGAGCCCACAGCACCTTGACTTTCCCAGCCTCTTTTACCCTCCGAGCTCCCCGTCACTCTCTTCTACTAGCCTGGGTACAGGCCCATTTCTTGTCTTGGCACCCCAGACACTGGAGCTAACTTCCGAGCTCAGAGCCACCACTGCTTCCCGATCCCTTCCATCCGGACCAACCCAGATCCTCCCTGTGGTCCCCAGGAACCCTCTGGGCCTGGCCCCACCCTAACCTCCCTTTATTTCCCTGGGCTGCACAGCCTCCTGGGGTCCTGGTGCCAGCACCTTTCCTGGTCCTGCCCTCACCTCCCTTTGTTTACTGGGCTGCAGAGCCTCCAGTGTCCTGGTGCCAGCACCTTTCCTGGTTAAGTCCAGCACACCCACCACGCCTTGACTCCCCCAGCCCCTTTCACCCTCTCACCTCCCCTACCAGGGCTCTCCTCCTAGCCTGGATACTGGCCCATTTCTTGTCTTGGCACCCCAGACACCGGGGCTAAACTCTCAGCCCAGAGCCACCACTGCTTCCTGATCCTTTGACCCAGACCAACCCAGTTTCTCCCAATAATCCCCAGGATCCCTTGGGGCCTCTTTCCATCCCTACCTCCCTCTGCATTCCTGGGTGGCACAGCCACCAGCCTCCTGAGACCAGCATCTTTCCTAGGCCCTACTCCCAGGCCAGGCCAGTCCCCAAGTTCTGGAGGGCAGTATCTTTCCTGGAAGGACCCAGACATTAGGAGAAAGCCTGAGAGCATCTGAGCCTCATCTCACTTGGGCCTCTGGGAACTCCTGAAGGGAAAAGCAATTAGGCCACTCCAATATAAAATCAAAAGAGAGAACCTGAAATGAAGTAACCCAATTAAAACATGGGCTAAGGAGCTGAACAGAGAGTTTTCAAAAGAAGAAATAAAGATGGTTAAGGAGCATTTTATAAGGTATTCAATATCATTAGTAATTAGAGAAATGCAAATTAAAACCATTTTAAGATTTCATCTTACCCCAGTCAGACTGTCTAGGCTCAAGAGAACAAATGATACAAAATGTTGGAGAGGATGTGGGGAAATGAGAATTCTAATCCACTGTTGGTGGGATTGCAAACTTATTTAACCCCTATGGAAAGCAGTATGGAGTACTCTTAAAAAACTACAAATGGAGACACCTGGGGAACCAATACTGCTTCCTGACACTTTCCATCCAGACCAACTTAGTGCCTTCTCTGGTCCTCAGGAGCACTGCTCTGGGCCTGACCCTGCACTTACCTACCTCTGCTTCCCTGGGTGTGCACCACCTGCCACAGGCCTCTCTCCCACCTGCAGGCCTCTCTCAGGGTTAAGTCCATTGTGCTCTCCTTGCTTTGACTCTCCCAGTCCCATTCAGTCCCCCATCTTCCCCTCCCTTCTCTCCTCAGAGATTAGGCCCTGCCCCACTCCTTGTCTTGGGGCCCCAGACACCTGGGGAACCAATATTGCTTCCTGACCACTTGTATCCAAACCAACACTGTGCCTTCTCAGGGCCCCAGGAGCACTGCTTCTGGACATGGCCCCACCTTCAACTCCCCCTGCTTCCCTGGACCAGCACCACCTGCCATCCTCTTTCTTGGACTTGGGAGCTGACCTTTCCTCTTCCTGATCCTTTGCATCCAGGCCAATCTGGCTACTCAGTGCACTCCCCAGGAGTCCTTGGGGCCTCTTCCCACCCCATCTGCCTTTGCATCTCTGGGTGGCACAGCCACCAGCTGCCCTAGACCAGCATCTTTTCTGGGCCAGGCTCCCAGGCCAGTCCAACCCCCAAATTCCCAAGGCCAAAATCGGTCCTGGAGGGATCCAGACCTTAGGAGAAAGCCTGAAGTCATATGACCATCATCTGAATTGGGCCCCTATGGCAACTCCTGAAGACAAAATCAATCTGGCCACTCCAACATAAAATCAAGAGAGGCAACTGGAAGCTTAGACAAACCAGCTTTTCATGTCCAAAAAGTAAACCACAAAGACACATAAACTTCACAAAAAGAAGTAGACCTAAACTTGAAGGCCTGAGTCTCACACAAGAATCAAAAACTACAAAAGAAATTCACATGCCAAAATCACAGAGAAAAAATAATAACACAAAAAACCAAAAAAACATATCCACACCAAATACCAATAGTCCTATAGAGGAGTACAGTGAGAACCCCCTAGAGATAATGCAGGACATGGAACTCAAAAGAACAATTATAAACATGATAAAAGAATTCAGTGAATTTAAAGAACACACAAAAAAGAAATCAAAGAACTGAAGGAAGATGGGGATAAACTTCTGAATGAATTCAGAAAAGAGTTAGAAATATTGAAGAACACTCAGGCTGAAATGAAGAAAGGAAGTGAGGCACTCAGTAAGCCAATTAGAAAAAACAGGAGAAAGCTTCAACAACAAGATGAACGAAGTGAAAAACAGAGTATCAAAACTGGAAGATAAAGTGGACGAATTAGACCACTGAAGCAAAGATTATGAAAAATTTAAGAAATCACAAGAATGGAATATGCAGGGATTGTGTGACACCACGAAAAGACTAAACTTGTGAATCATAGGCATATGGGAATGAGAAGAATCCCAAGATAATGGCATGGAACAGATCTTCAACAGAATCGTGGAAGAAAATTTCGCAAAATTGAAGAAAGACATGCTCATCCAAATCTTCCAGGCTGAAGGAATTCATGTCCACAAAACCAGCCCTTCAGAGAGTTCTGGAAGCAATACAAAGAGCTGAAGAAAGGAATGACTATACACAAGGGATTTCGGATAGAAATCCAATGAAGGCATAAATGTGTTAAAGTACAGCTATATCAAGAATGTAAACAGAAATAAAAATGACAGTATTCAATACCCATCTTTCATCAATAACTTTAAATACTAATGGACTGAACTCTCCAGTCAAAGGAAACAGACTATGTGAATGGATTAAGAAACAAAACCCATCTTTTTGTTGTCTGCAAGAAACACACCTCACTTTAAAGGACAGACACTATCTTAAGGTGAAAGGATGGAAAAAATATACCAAGCAAATGGCACTAAGAAAAAAGCAGGCATAGCAATTGTAATATCTGACAAAATAGACTTTAAACTAAAACTAATCAGAAGAGATAAAGAGGGCTACTTCATTCTGAACAAAGGAACAATGAATCAAGAAGATATTACAATCATGAACAAATATTGACCAAACTCTAGTGCACCCAACTTCTTAAAAACAATACCACAGGACTTTAAGACCCAGATTAACCCCAACTCATTAATAGCAGGTGACTTCAATACCCCACTGTCTCCATTAGATAGGCCAACAGGGCAGAGAGTTAACAGAGAGACATCTGAATTAAACAATACCATATATCAAATGGACTTAACAGACATCTACCGAGTATTCCACCCAAGCACCAAAGGATGTAATTTCTACTCAGCGCCCCATGGAAACTTCTCCAAAATTGATCATATACTGGGGCACAAAACAAACTCAACAAATACAAAAAGATTGAAATAATTCCATGCATTCTATCAGACCACAATGGAATAAAGCTTACAATCAACACCCGAAGAAGCCCTAACCACCACATGAATACACGGAGATTAAGCAACACACTCTTGAATGATGAATGG